ATAAACTTAGTGAGGCAATTTAAAACAATATACAATGCAATACAATACAATTCATGCATTAATTTCAATGTCAAATAATCAAATTTCCATAAAATCATTTTTACTAACATATCTAATATTTTACCATGATCAAAATAATATAAAATCTCTTACCATTTATCCCATAAGCTCGTAACCTTATTTTACCAAAATACTTACCATTTAAATTTCATAAGCTCGTAAGCTTATTTTATCAATATATTTGCCATTATTCATAAGCTCATAAGCTTATTTGCATACTTATCATTTATTAACCAATAAACCATAACTCATATATCAAAGCCCATAGTATAGATGTATGAGGAACCCATTATAGGAGTCAAATATTACACCGAAGTGTTGAGGTCGAGCTTTGCTCACCTAATAATGCACCATAGTGTTGAGGTCGGGATTTACCCACCTAGTACACCGTAGTGTTTGTACTGTGTCTTCACTAGACACTAAGGCCTGCACTATGTGCCTTCCCTAGACACTCTAGTGCTACCTAATATTGCAACTGCTAGACTCTATGGCATGCCATTAATACCACTGATCCTCAATAACATACTTGGGCATATAGTCAATTTTATTCGATCCATACATGGCAAAGTATATCATTTAACATTGGGTAGTTCATACCCACAATATTATTCATGATAAAAAATCATATATGTTCATGATAACATCATATGCAAAAATTAGTGATCAATGCATTTTATATTCAACCTTGACATATTTAGAATATGTCAAATATATGATAAATGACATAAATATCATGTCAACATAAGCAAGGTCGACTTATCGCAAGTCTTCCTGATGATGTATAAAACATCCATGTATAATATCATGCATGTATTGCACTCACCTTGACACTTTATAATTTTCCAAAATATGAGCCTTACTATTGTTCCACAATAAACCCTCTTGATTTGCTTCAATCGCAAATCAATCATAATCTGTATAATTCACAAATTCATAATAATACATATGTTAGTATTGTACTAACATAAACATATCAAAATAACTCCATAATATATTTGAAACTATTCACCACCAAATACTTTAAAACTTATTAATTCATTTTAGTATTGTATCCAACTTTTCCAATTTACATAAAATAGTCCTTCACCCTTTTATCACTTAGAATTTCAATACAAAAATTCCAGTATTGAAATTATTATCAATCAAGTACACAAAAGGCATAATTACAATAACAATCCCAACAATTCAAAATTTGTATTACAATCACCAAACTTTCTAAAATTTCCATATTCTGACAACTTGCACTACCTTTAAAGAATCAGTATTCTATACTGATATACAGACTGTAATTTAATTCCATTTCTTCCGTTGAAAACTAGACTCAAATAAAAATCTATCCATATCAAGAACTCCTTTTAATTCATTTTTACAATTTATGGTGAATTTTCAAAGTTGATCAACATAATCTGTTTTGTGCAGAATCTGCTGTCCGATTTTCTGACCTCTCCTTGGTTAAAAATTCATATCTTTTTGTATACACCTTGAAATTGATCCCAGATTATTTCAAACAAAACTAGATCAATATATGAACACAATATATAAAAATAACCTTCAAATTATTTTTATATTAATTCTGGTGAATTTTCAAACCCACCGTCAATCTCAAAATCTAAACTGTTTTCTTAAACCTCATCCTTAAGTTCTTCATCAATTCTTACAACCAATTCTTTAAAATCACTTAACTCTTCATAACCCATAAAACACAAGAACCCCTTCATTAACTCAAGATGAACTTGAACAACCAACAAGATTATCATGCAATATTGGTACCAAATGATAGCGTTTTTCCCATATAACAATTTTCTATTTTCAGCATACTCAAAATCCTAAGGAAATTGCTTGAAAATGAAATTAAAGCTTGCTCTTACCTTAGGAGAAACCCACGTCTGGTTTTGGAGAAGAAGATGAGCAAATTTTGTTGAAATGTGGAGAATATTTCATCTTAATTTACCTTATATTCCACTTAAATGAATATATTATTTATTTAATTGGGATAAAACCAAATCACCCTTAATGAATCTTCTAATTTACCATAAAATCATGACAACTCATCCTTATCATATTTCAAAGTCAAAGATGAATAAATTTGACTTTGACTTACGAAAATGCCATGAAATTTTCAAAACTTGCGTTTTAGTCACTAAATTCCACTGTTTCGATTAAATCTAAAAAAATTGCACATTCCAAACCAAATTTCTCTGATATAAAATATTCAAATAATAATTCCAACCATTTTATAACATCCTTAACAATTTTTATAAAATTCCAATTCGACCGGAATTATCGATTCCTTATCGGACTTTAACATTTTCTAGTTTTTCTTTAATAAAAATTCCAAATCCAAAAATATGATTTCCATAAAATTCCCCTCTCAAGAATAAACCATCTATTTATGGAATAAAATTCTTTTTAGGAAATTATCACTTAATTTCCTAATTTTTTTCCAAATTTACTACTTTGACCATCAAACTTTCAAAATTTTCATTTTGGTCATTGTCTAAATTTTTGGGGTATTACAAAAATCATTACACGCAGGGTCTATTTATTCTTCTGAAACATCATCAAAATCCGAGTATTGACCAAGATCAAAGTCCGGGTATTGACCAAGATCAAAGTTTGGGTATTGACCAAGATCAAATTTCGAATACTGACTAGTACTCACAATTTTTCTGTTGGCTCATCATCGTCTAACTGGTCAATACGAAAACTGAAATTTGGTGCTGAAAGTTGATTGGGATTTGGATTAGGGAAAGGTTGTGGGTTTTGAGATTGTGTTTGGTATTGGAAATGTGGTGAAATAAAATTTTCTTGGTGATGAAATTGTGGTGGAACCATTAAATTTTGAGGTTGATAACAACGTTGTAAATTGTGAGCACCATAAACTGGGGTTGAAGAACTTAGTTGATTACTACCCGCTACTGACCCAACTTCACTACTTCTAGGTTCAACAACATACAATGTAACATCATATTGTGAAACATTAATGTAAGCAATGAATCGTTCAACATCTTCATTGTTGGTTAACAAATAAACTTTACCTTTTCTCTGATAAGATAGCCTAAATCCACTTAGAAGCTCTAAATTCAATTTCTTTGCAAAACGTAACATTAGAGTTTCATAAGTTAACTTTTTTAATGACAATTTTAGTTGAAGATTCATGGGTAAATGCATATATTGTAAAACACCATGAACATTCTCCCATGACCCTCCAAAACATAAATCAATCCAAACATGATCAATATTAGATGATTTCATTCTACAAATTATAAATTAATTTACTAAACAAACGAGCTATAAACTAGATATCATCACTAACTTAGAGAAAAACATACCTTTATTAAGTTGATAGTTGATAATTTGGGAGAGAAATTATTGAAAAATTATATAGAAATAAAATTATGTCAAAAAAAATTAGAGATGGGGAAGGATGTCGTTGGATATAAGAACGGATGTCGCCGGAGAGAGTGATAGATAAAGATGGAATGAGTTATGATTTAGGGATTTAGGTTATGAGTTGTTGCTGCTGCGTAGTTTATATACCCAAAACATTTGTGTTGCGAAAATAAAAGCTGTTGCAAAATTAAAATTCGTGTTGCGAATTCAAAAATCGAGTTGCGAAAACAAAATTCGTGTTGCGATTTAGAAAATCTTGTTGCGAAAAGGAAACTTGTGTTGCGAAAAAGAAATTCGCATTGTGAATTCAGAAATCGAGTTGCGAATTTGAAATTCCGTGTTGCGAATTTGGAAAATCGCATTGCGAGAAAGAAATTCGTGTTGCGATTGCAGAAATTGAGTTGCGAATTTGGAAACTGTGTTGCGAAATTGGAGTTCGCGTTGCGAATTTGTTGGTCATTTTCGTAAATCCAAAAAAATTGGTTAAAATCGTATATTATAAGGCATTTTCGGTCACTTAAGTTATTTTCTCTTAAAAAAATATCAGTCCCTAAACTTAATTTAGGATTTTTCATTCCTATCTATATTCTTTATTTTTTTCTGAAAATTGTAAGAGAAGAGAAATGTTGTGAAGATGGAAGACTTCATTGATGTTATGCTTTGTAATTGTGGATGCCCAGGTAAGGTTTTATTTTCTATTTTTATTTTCTATTAAACCCAAAAGAAGCTTACCAGAAAGCATAGCGTTGTCCCCCCCTTTGTCATAACCTTCATGTAAGTACGATGATTTTTCTTTGCTCGTTTTTCTCTCTACTTTTTCTCTCAGACTAATGCAATAAGAAGAAATGGGTTTATGGAAGAATAAGAAGAAGCAATGAGTTTATGGAAAAATAATAAAATGTTTATGAAAGAAGAAGATTGGTTCATAATGGTAAATAAAACCTTTGATTCCCCCTATTAATTAATTAATTATTAATTATATATTAGTTCAAGCATAGGTCAAAGGGATTCCAATGGTCCTCCAACGTGGCGGTCAAAAGTTCATATAAGCAGTTAACGCGTCAGCTGTGTTTTTCGTCACCCCTGTTAACAACTGTTAATGTCAAGTGACCAATTTATAACAAACGATAATATTAATGATCGATTTATAAATTTTAAAACATCAATGGTGAAAATAAAAACTTATTCAAACATTAATGATCACTGTATAATTTATCCTAATTTAAATAATATTATTTTTATCACATCAACATTTTACATATGTGATACTGTCACATCAACCATTGAATTAAAATAATCTAAAAAAATAAGAATAAAAATAATTATGTTATCGAATGTCATAGATGTTTTAGATATTATGCCTTTATTTTAATTGTCAAAATTAATTAAATCTACCAAATTATCGTTTTTGAAAAATATTTGAATTTCCGATTGAAGGATGGTGAGTACTGGGGCCATGAAATCAATATATGGATTATGGAGTTATCCATGTTTATAGAAATACACGTATTCCCAGTCAGATCGACTGGATTTGAGCCAAAAAGTAAAACACCCAATTTGATTCTAAAAAGCTGAGATCTTTTTGTAAATTCTAAGATTACAATTGCGAAAACCTGAATCTCAGAATTCATTGTGCCATTACATGTCACACAAGGCTCTGGACTCGCGCCACTCAATAGGCTCCTGCACTTTCCACCTCCATTCATAGAGACCTTTCCACCTCGACTCCTCCTTCGATCTCCCGAAACGCTCCTCCACTAGTGGTTTCCTTTCCAAGCGTCCTTGCCTTTCCGATCGCACCACTTCTTTCTCCATCGACCTCTCAAAACTAACCATCATCGACGACAACAACCCAATCGGAGCCAACCCCAAGCGAAGCAGCTTCAAGCTGTTCGCAAGAAAACGCCGCCGCCGCGGGTCGAGTCGGTTCAGATCGATCTGAACTTCGACCCGCGGGACTCGAAGGTGTTGTTCCGTGGGGGCGTCGGCGGCTTACGGGACGTGCTCTGATTTTCCGATGACAATTGGGACGGACTCGAGTGGGGAGCTTTTTGGGAATGTTGGGGACGCGAATTGGGCCTCGGATGTTAGCGAGGCCCGGAATCCCAGAAGAGAAAGAGGGGATAATGGGAGTGGAGAGGAGTTTAGGCGGCGGCACAACTTGGGAGCGTTGATGCTCAAGGGAATGAATCTGGATATGGTAGTGAGCATGGGTATCGTGGGGATGGAGAGTTTGGGTATGGGGATGAGGTTGATGAGGAAGAAGAGGACACTCCCTTGTTGTTTTGGGGAGATCACTTTGGAGGTATTGCTAATTCTTCTTGTTTTTCAATAACTTTGATGCTTATATTTTATTTCTTTATATATTTCTTATCGGGCGGGCAGAAATTTATGTATTTTTGGTCCGAACTTAGAAGTTATATTAAAAATTTAGTGGGAAAGAGTTATCAAATTTTTATGTTGATCGGTGTGAACTTGGAAGTTATATTAAAAATTTAAGGTTAAAGAGTTATCAAATTTTGGAGTTGCGAAATTAGATAATCAATAAAAGCTATAAAGAAAAAAAATTTAAATATAAGGTAATTTGAAATTTCTAGGCGGTGTGATTCTGGTATTTTTTTTTTTGTTTGTTAATGTTTTCTGTGTAGTGTGAATGATCAAAAGCAAATGATTCATACAAGTGATACTTACGCATGCTAAATTGAGAATGCATACCGATTTAACAAATTTGACCGAAAATGGTAAATTTTGCTCTTCCTTACTTGATTCATGAACTGAAGACAGGATTTTTAGTAAGATGAAAAGATACTATTAAATAAGTTTTGAGTTGTAAAATGCGTAGGAGAAGCATTTTGGTCCATTATGAAAGATGGTTAATTTAGGTTCCACATGACAATAATTTACAGCTGGGATAATATAGGTTTCTTTGTTCTTATGTCAGAGAAAGTTATCATGCAACTTGGTAGCATTGTAGTCTGCCTCAAGGCAATTTGAGTATCAGATCAGATATCCAACCATGTGTGAACTTCATCAACTTTGAGTTTTGGTCTTGTAACCTTGTTAAAGAGGAAAGTGGTGACTTGAGTGGCAATGCAGCAAGGATATACTATTGATGCATTTTTTTGGGATACATTTTCTATTATGCTCTTAATCCCCTAAGTAATACTCTCCTGAGGAGATTACGGGCCCAAGTTCAGTCAACCTGCAATTTCCTGGAGTCTTCAGCAGCAACAGTGTCAACTGAGCTAGTACTTTGTCTGCTGTTGACTTAAAAGTTACTTTCACACATTTAGTGATTGTTAGACTCAATGAACCTCTTTAAATTTCATAGGCAATATAACCTCTCATAAATCATAAAATTTTCCTTTTGGTATTTTTTTAGTTTATAATTTGCATTCTGGATGTGTTACACTGCAGGATCTATGTTTTTCATGTCTTGATTAAGTTTATATCATTGTGGTTCACAAGTTCTCTGTGAACCGACTAATTGCTTATGAAATTACTGTTTTGCCTTAATGTCTCCCTTAGCTTTACCTTTTTGTTTGCATGTTGTTTCATGAACTGACTGCATCATTTTCCTTGCACCAGATGCATATTCTAAAATGGAGATTGTCGGGGAGAACACGTTCTCTGATCAGAAAGTCCATCACAAATGCCGTGGCAAAAAGAATGATTATAGAACGGTTGATTCCCTGAGGTAAATTAATTTAATCCAGTTATTGAATAATGGCATACTCCCTTATACCACCTTGATCATAGTTTATACCTCCTGGAAGGATTTGTTAGCTTCTAGATTGCTACATGAGAGTAATTGTAATGCATCAATAACCTTAGAAACCTTGAGCTGTCGAAGAAGAGTGGCGATATTGTTCCGGGTCTTTGCATAGATGCTTTTATAGATTAAGCTTTAGAGAATTTGAATATTCACTAACATTGTACTTTGTATCATGTTTGTGGTGAGAAAGTAATCTGAAATGTACTAATGCAAAACCAATTTTGGTTCTCAACTTGCGTTAATGTTCCTTTTCTGAAAGTTTCCAGTTACTCATATTCCTTGATTGGAGAATCAAATTCATTGAAATCTACAGGCAGTGAAGTGAACATTGTTTTTTTTGTATTTAACACACAGGTTGTAACGGTTATCAAATTTGAGGGGTTTTGGAGAGGAAAAATGAATTGTGGTTGGTATTTGGAATGGAGGGTCATTGTCCATTCATTGCACCACCACCCACCAATCTATATTTCAGCACTTAGAGAGTACTTTTCTTACATCCATCTTCTGGTCCGTTGATAAAATGGAGTATTAAATTAAGTTCATTCCCATTAATGTTTGCAATATCTTTGGCTGATTACTCCAAGTTGATTGAAAGCAAGGTTATTAGCACCGCTATGACTTAGAACTAGTAAACCTCGGTGGAAAATTCCAGGGTAATAAAACGATTTTGTTAACTGCTGCTTTTAAATATACTTTCTATCTAATATATTAAAGATTATGAATAAAACTATGCATTATTATCTTTTTAAGGTAAAAAAAATATTTTAACAGAAGGGGTCGTTCGTTGAATGAGGAGGTTGTTGTATCAGATCAGTAATTCAGTACATCCATGTGAAATGCATCTTAGATTTGATTGAATCGTTTTGTAGATGTCTCGATGAGTTTTACGGCGGCAAAAGGTAACTTCAGTTAACCGGAAAACAGTAATCTTATGAGGCCACCGTTCATTGGGAAGGTGGTTTCTGAAGCAAACAGATAATGTAGTCCAATATATAAGGGCAGATAGGTTCAGTGAAAGCATTAATTAGATCAAAAGGAAAGCTAATTGACCACGCATGCATGATTTGATGTCGACAGAGAAAGAATAAGGATCAAACCCTCCTTGTTTTGCTAGTATGGGACCATTTTCAAAGTTTCAACGTCTAAGTTCCTTGTTTTCGACCAAAAAAAAAAGAACCATCTCCAACCAGTTATTAATTCCCCACGATCCAGACAAGGCTCCCAAAAACCATGCACATCCTCTACAAATACAATATTTTTGTTGTAAAAGAAATAATGCAACTAACTTGTCTGGTTCCTAGTATTTCAAGTTATTTTATTGCTTCGACATGTGTTACAGAGAATTCAAAAGGGCAATGAATTATGGGGAACCTTCTATGCTCAATCATTTCACAAGATACTACAATCTACAAAATTGAAACGATACCAGATTCCACGTTATTATATTAGTACAGAACATGAAAACTCAGTCCCACCCGCCATGAAGTGCCAACAACTATACCTCTATATGCTTAACTTTTTATACTTTATAAGTTTTATTTCAGGCCAAAGCACTTGAAATTTAACCCAAAATCTCTGTCTATACCCGCTGTAATATCTCGTAATTCAAATATAAAAATTGTCCCACTTGGGTCAGAATCATCCAATAACACTGCATGTTCCAACAAAATGTTGACCATAATCGTCCCCGTAAATTTAAGACCGCAAACATTATTTTCATGATTTAGTCCAATCCAAAGACAAGTGTCGCTGAATTAAGCCAATTGCCTGATGGTTTTGGTCAAATCACGTTGGTGGGAGTCATTTTCGGAAAGGATTAAATCTAATTGGAGTGGTAGGCATTGATGTAAAAATTTATGTTAATAGATAAAATTATAAAATTTTAAGAGTAAATAAACTTACAAAATCTAAAGGGATAAAATAAATTTTTAATAAAAAAAATATTTAAAATGTATAAAATTTTAAAATTTTTAAGACACGATTATCTCATGTGTCTACTTATTCTGTCCGTCCATTGGCCGTGGAATTCAATATCATTTTAGGTAAATGCATCCATCAGTTTTCACAAATCCCATCCGCTCCTTTTTTCCCCCTTCCATATACACACGTCTTAGGTTACTTATTTTGTTTTTATTTCTCCTAAATTTTATTTTATTAAAATGAATTAGGATCCAATCTGTTATGTTCTTAAAACAAATGTAAACCACTACTACTAAACATTGGTTAAGGTGATATATAATTAGCAAATTATTATTATTGTAACTTTTTAAAAAAAAAAATTGATCAAATATTATACTGAAAAAAACTTTATTAATAGGCTTAATTAATCATTTATCTCTCCAATTATTATTTTTCCCATTTTACAACCTAAACTATTTTTTTCAATTTACCACTTTAAGTATTCCCACGTCATAAATTTTGGCCCCTCAATAAAGATACATTAAAAAAATCGATCAATGTATCATATAAATCCTTTAATTATAACATATTTTTATACATTTTTCTCACTTTGCATTCTATTTATTTTTCCTCATTTCACCCCTTAAAATGGTTCTTTCTATCTTTTATTTGTTTTAGCCTTATCAATAATAGTGTTGCTTTGAAAGTAGGTGAGATAATACATGCATAATTTTATTTATTTTTTAAATATATTTGTTATTTTAATAGAAAAATGACATACATTTACCAACATCGTTGATATCAGTTGAAGACTAATTATACTCGTCATTAGAAAAGGGTCAATAAAGTAACTATCATAAGAGAGATCTATATATCAATGATCTGATCTCAAGATCCCAAAATCTTCTCATCTTTCCGATAAAGAACTCTATTAGTTCTCTTTCAACATTTGTCGTCCAAATATTAAAAAAAGTACACACTAAAAGATAAAAGAGAGAGAGAGAACAAAAACATTTTATAATAATAGAAAAAAATCTGACATAAAAACATATAGATAATTATCTATAAAAATTACTTGAGTAAAAAAAACAAATGAAATGAAATGAAACATTAGTGTTAAAGTTTTAAACAACATGATGCATGTATTTGAACTACTAAAAGATTGTCAACATTAAGTAGCTAAATCATATATAAATTATTATCAGCTAACCAACACTATTTTATTCGATTCCGACTGAAACTATCTTTCTAATACCCCATTCATCTCTTCATATGTCGTAATCCACAGCTGTGTTTGTAATTTATAATACAATTAGGTTTTTTTTAATCAACAACTCCCTCCGTCTATTAGTTTTATATCATATTAAGCTAGTGACAAATCTATCCTTTATTTGGGGTTCACTTTGAAGTATAAATTTTATTTATTTATTTATTTATTTTTATTAATTGTATCCGTATTAAAATTTTATTTGTGTCAATCCCATATAAAAATTTTATGTTATTAATGTATATATATATACTCTAAAAAATATTTTTGGATCTATCGTTGTATTGATCAAACACATAATTTTAAAAGATAAAGTTAAAGTTATATAAAATGAAGAAAATAATAAAATCCCAAAAGAATCATGAATAGATTTTTCAGTTTTATTTTCATAGACGTTAAAAAAATAAAATGTATAAAATAAAAAAAGTATAAATGTAATTATTTATTATTATTTTAATAAAATATTTTAAATGATATATTTTTAAATTTTAAAATATATATATTTAGTTGGATGGGAAAAAATAACAAAATATTGTAATTAAAAAGACAATTCTAAACACGATTAGTCTTCATTCAACTGGAAGCGAAATCGAGGTAAAAAGGTATTTAGAGGCTTAAGAAATGTGCCGGTTGATGTGTTTGACCGGTTGAGTATTATAGGGAATGAGTTTGGCTTTTGACGGGTTTAGTGTCGAGGATGAAGGCGGGTGGAGCGTTGGAATGAATGAAAAAGGCGGGTGGAAAAAACGTGGGAAATCCTTGAGAGTCGCCCACTGCCCAACACGTTGCTTAAGATGGAATGCTCCAACCAAACAACGTGCAATTCAGGTCCTTCTCTTTGGTCCCACTTAGGAACCGACGGAGACTATGGATTAAAAAAACATTTTTGAAAATTGATAAATATATAAAAAAATATTTAATAGGATATATATAAATAGAATTTTAAGATAAATATTATCAATAAAATAAATAATTAACGAAAGAAAATTTAAGTTTCATAATAATTTATTCTTAGTTTTAAAATTTTATAAATTCATTATTCTTAACCTAAAATCATATATATATATATATATATATATATATATGATTCCACACACAAACTTGTTTCTATTGCTCCGACTCCTGATCCCACTATTTTGTGAAACTACGTATATGGTAATCATACATATTTTAAATGAAAAGGAGCAATTATATATTTATGGTTTACGTAAAGTGGGTTTGGAAAAAGAGAAAATATAACACTATTGATGGAAAAAGAGAAAATATAATAATATTGATGGAAAAAAAGCGTTTTTTTCGAAAAATCATCGGTGACCAGTATATTTATCGATCTAACATCTGTCAGATTATATTTCCCGATCTAACATCGGTCAGACTATATTTCCCGATCTAACATCATTTGCAGTAAAGCGCGTCTCCTACATCGCGCTATATGCTGATTTGACGCCATGTAGGGTAAGACGCGCCCCCTGAACCGCGCTATATGCTGACATGGGATACACGTGGGTATAGCGCGGATCAGGGGCGCGCCTTACCTGTGTATTTGCCACGCGCCAGAAAGGCGCACCCCTATCCCGCGCTATATGTTTAATTACCCCATACCCCGACGCTTTACACCCCAATCTTCCCTATAAATATTCCTATCTTCAATCACTTTCATCACACCAAATTCTGTCAATTTCTCTCAACTTCTCTCAAATACTCTTATATTCTCTCTTTAAGATATATTTTATCATAATTTTAATATTCTGTATTTAATTTATTAAGTATTTTAATTTATTTAATATTTTACTTATATAATTTTTTTTGCAGATATATAATGGAAGACGGTCTACTTCGCTTGGATGAAAATCATATATCTTGACACTTTGCTGATACAGTAACATTTTAACGTTTTAATTTAATTTAAATTATTAGTAATAATTTGTTGATTTATTTAATGCATGATTATTAGATTAAGAATTAATTTTTGTAATTATTTATTTTTAGGAGAAGGACCGTGTATTAGATCCTTTTATTAGGAACCTTACGTTAGTGATACCTAGCCGTGTCTTGCCGTATT